CCTAATAAGCCAAGTTTTCCTGAATTAATATATTTACTATAATTTTTTTCTTATGAAATGATAAAGCTACCCTCTTTACTATGTATGAGGTCAATTTTTTTTTATTGGAGTTAAAATTAACGTAGATATATGACCGAACCTAACCAACCCTACCTAACCTAACCTAACCTATCTTTATAGGTTAGGTTAGGTTAGGTAGCCGAAAAAGTTAGGTTAGGTTAGGTTAGGTAGACGAAAAAACATTAATTCATGAAAACTTGGCTTATTAGGCAAATCGGGCCTTGCATAGTAGGCTGAGAAGTGAGTTCTGGCTACCAGGTACGATATATATATATATATATATATATATATATATATATATATATATATATATATATATATATGACGTTAAGTGTGATTTCTCTGTGCATGAAGGTGGACCGTAGGGTTGATGACCTACTTTACCTTCACCAGAGTGCTCGGGGGTCATGTGTCATACTTACACGGGCTTGAGTGGAAGCCTCCAGACTGCCTGTGGATTCAGAGGAATCCCAGGTTATGTAACGCTTACCATGTCGTGGTACAGCGGGGTAAGGTGCGTGGCTGGCAGTACCCTGATCGCTGATATCCATCAGGCTATCGCTAGGTGAAAGAAGAGAGGAAGGAACAACCAAATATATGTATTTGGCTGTACCTACTGTACCTAGGAAGATACAAGCAAATATATATTTAGCTGCACCTTCCTCACCTTTCACACGGCTGGTCCAAGACGGACCGAAACGTCGCCGTCTCCTCATCTTCTGACGTGTGTTTCGGTCGTCATATCTTCAGCCACGTTATTGTGACTCGTCGTCTGCTCAGTTTATATTATCGTTAGTTTAACATGCTGTTGCAAGTTTATTTACAAAATAAAGGTTCATAAAGTAAGAATTCTCTTAGCTTGGTACCTGACACTATCAAGCAATTGTTATATTTATTATATGGAGAACTTGTTTTTCTAATTGTATATACATTATATATATATATATATATATATATATATATATATATATATATATATATATATATATATATATATATATATATATATATATATATATATATATATATATATTAATAATTTTATTTATTTGCCAATGTCTCCTATTTCAAGCATTTTTATTCATTTTAAGCCTTTTTTTAAACCTGACATTATCAAGTAATTGTTATATTTATTATATGAAAATTTTGTTTTCCTAATTGTGTATATATATTAATAATATATAATAATTTTATTTAATTGCCAATGTCTCCTATTTCAAGCATTTTTATTCATTTTTTAAGCCTTTTAACAACTTGATGATAAGCTCTATTTCACTATGAAGGATAGATTACTATAGAGTTTCCTCATCTATTGTAATACATGCAAGAAACACTTTAGTTCGAGGGTCATCTTACAGCCCTTGAGAATTCTTGCCATGTTCTTTAAGAGAGAATATATGACACTTAGTGAATGTAGATCCAGGCTTGCAGTATATTAATTACACGATAATGACACAATAGGGAGTAAAGAATCTTAGCGGAGAAATTAACCTATTTAAAAATATTTAAGAATAGGGAAATATTTATCTAGATCAACAATTTATCACTAGTAAGAACAATTTAAAATGCAGCTGTGGCTGCCTTGTGCTGCCCCCCCCCCCTATTGTATTGGCGATACCGTTGCTGTTGTGCTGCCACTGTTGTTGCCACTGTTGCTGCTACTGTTGCTGCTACTGTTGCTGCTACTCCTGCTGCTACTGTTGCTGCTACTGTTGCTACTCCTATTGCTGTTATTGTTCCTGCTGTACTGTTGTTACTGATGCTCTCAGACACCCCAGAACCAGCGAATGCCTTCGGTAGGCCTCCAGCCGTGCCTTAACGCCTCACAAATACTGACAAATGAGTGAGAGGGAGGAGGCGTGGGCATAGGGTAGGGTATGAGGGTATGAGGGGGTATCAGGGGTTGGGGGTTATGGTGGGGCGTCGTGATGGGGTGGGGGGAGGGGGTGGAGGTGATTTTCCAACCTTTTGACGTGGAATTCATGATTCTTGGGGGAGGAATGAACGTAATGGTTGTTCTTGTGTTGGAGACAGGAGAGCTGCCCGTGATTGATGTTCCCAGGGAGTCCCAATAGGGTGCTAGGGGCGTGATTGGAAGGGTCAGGATGGGAAGGGTCAGGATGGGAAGGGTCAGTGGGAACAAGAGAGGGCTGTGTAGGGCAGAGGACTGTGTTCACTATAGCCCTGTTAGAGTCTCTCTTCCTTTTGTTTATCTTCCCGTTCCATCGGTCTTTTATCTACATTTGAGTCACATTTTCTTTCCCATATATGTCCTCTATTCCGCAGCCTCTCCTTTCCCTATTTTTTTTTTGTTAAGCCATGACCCGCCACCTCCTCCTCCCCTCTCCCTTCCTCCTCTCCCATCTGGTGCCCAGCATGCCTCGTGCCCAACCCCTTCCCCTTGCTTTCACCTTCACCCCCACCCCCCTTTCACCCTCGTCTGCCCCCCCCCCCCGGTTGCTTTAATGCTCACCAACGTACTACCGAGGTCTCTGTGGTCCCAAGGGCTGTGTTGTGTGGTCTCTGTGGTCCCAAGGGCTGTGTTGTGTGGTCTCTGTGGTCCCAAGGGCTGTGTTGTGTGGTCTCTGTGGTCCCAAGGGCTGTGTTGTGGGGTCTCTGTGGTCCCAAGGGCTGTGTTGTGTGGTCTCTGTGGTCCCAAGGGCTGTGTTGTGTGGTCCCAAGCACTGTGTTGTGTGGTCTGTGGTCCTAAGGGCTGTGTTGTGTGGTCCCAAGGGCTGTGTTGTGTGGTCCCAAGCACTGTGTTGTGTGGTCTGTGGTCCCAAGCACTGTGTTGTGTGGTCTGTGGTCCCAAGGGCTGTGGTGTGTGGTCTGTGGTCCCAAGGGCTTCTTCCCTCTAAGCCAACCGGTTTATGCTTGCTTCTCGTCCTCAACCAAAGACCATTAAGTGTCTATATGGTCGTATCCCTCTATATACATATACATATGTATCCATATGTATACACCTTGATGGCCTGCACTATTTCAGCTTAACAACTGCATTCCTGTATGCAAATGTTAATCAATAACTATCAACCATAAGGCACATTCATATGCAAATGAAGCAATACTGAAGCTTCCTCGCCAGTTGCATACAGCTTCCTTGCGTTAAATGATCCTAGCGACATATTCATATACGAGATGTATACTATGCTGCATAATTACTGTCTAGTTGGATAGTATGCAAATTCACGAGTTAAGATTAACCTAAGACGTTTCTAATTCAGTTATTGGTAGTCTTAGTTGTAACTGTAGTGATTGTTCCAAGGTGACAACTGTGGAGTAACTTCTTTTCGCCTTGTTGTATGTTATTGTTGTGTTGTGAATTACTGCCATGTTGTGTATTTTTGACTAACTATTGGAGCAGCAGACTTGGTGGTATTAGATAGCAAGGGTTGTAGAAATACACACTTGTGTGGAGAGTTTGGGTTACCGACACACAGATTACCTCATACAGGCGTCTTAGTTCTAGCACTATGTTCTAGCACTCTTCCACAGAGTGCAAGAACACACTCTAGAACACTGCAACTCTTGGAAGGTCGGGGCAGGAAATTCTAGGAAAAGTGTCGATAACAATAACACGCCAATGTGTTCATTGTGTGAAGCTTGAAAACACGATCAAGCAGACAGATTTAAGTAGTAATAGGTGAAAGTGTTGGTGAAAAGTTTATGGTAACGAGGCGTTTTAAGGGGGTCGTAAGAGGTACTTGTGAGCGACTTACAGCCGTGTTAATGGGCGAGAGGTAAGACCGCCTGCTTACAAGTGCCTTGTATAATGTCCTTGGCAGAATGTATAGTGCGTTGTTTACACCTGTCCCGTGTTGTGTATGAACCCTTGACCCTTGACCTTCTATACTCCCTCACTCCCTCGACCTTGACCTTCTATACTCCCTCCCTCCCTCGACCTTAACCTTCTATAATCCCTCACTCCCTCGACCTTAACCTTCTATACTCCCTCCCTCCCTCGACCTTGACCTTCTATACTCCCTCCCTCCCTCGATCTTCCAGTCATACTCCCTCCACTTGTGACTCCTCCGGACTCCTCTATTGTTTCTACATTTTCGTTGAAAATGACGAAGAAAATGACAAAATCTTCTTAATTAATCTCAAGCACCTTGCTGGAAATATTTGTGGGTGACATCACTTTCTAATTCAATGGTTGTTAACTTCCCATTTTCTTCTATTTAACTATCACGGTGGCTGCTTCCTATAATTTTGGGAACTTTCACTTTAGCTGTGACGAACTGACAATTGTGGCTGTGTGTGTGTGTGTGTGTGTGTGTGTGTGTGTGTGTGTGTGTGTGTGTGTGTGTGGTGTGTGTGCGTGCGTGCGTGTGTGTGTGTGTGATGGTAAAAAATATATACTACACAACAAATTAACTGACAACAAAAAATGAACATAGAGAAAATACAGAGTTGAGACAGCAGCTACCTTGAAAGAGGATTACTAAACTGGAGTCGACTTGTTCACAGACCCAGAAGAGACGCCCAGATATTTCTTTAGAAGGGAAATTGAGCCTGAAACATGTCTGATAAAGATGGTCATAGAGATGTTAAGAGATGCATCTGATGCTGCTGCTAAGATTCCATTATTGCTTATTATGAATCTAATTACTGTTTACTCTGTCTCTCTCTCTCTCTCTCTCTCTCTCTCTCTCTCTCTCTCTCTCTCTCTCTCTCTCTCTCTCTCTCTCTCTCTCTCTCTCTCTCTCTCTCTCTCTCTCTGTACACACCTCCGATGTCACACGTAGTATACTTTGATATATTCGTGTTATTCTTGTATATTATAGTTCATTGTGACGTGGAGATAACTGGTGCCACCGCCCATGGTGATGCTTGCTTGGGTGCTCAGGCCGCCGCTTGGTCTTATTCTTCACTATTGCTTCTATTGTGGCCTTCATCTTCACGTGGTTGATGTGGTGCCTCTGGCGGCCCAATTGTCCTTATCCTCCAGGCTTTTGTTGTCGTCGAGGCTTTTGTTGTCGTCGAGGCTTTTGTTGTCGTCGAGGCTTTTGTTGTCGTCGAGGCTTTTGTTGTCGTCGAGGCTTTTGTTGTCGTCGAGGCTTTTGTTGTCGAGGCTTTTGTTGTCGTCGAGGCTTTTTGTTGTCGTCGAGGCTTTTGTTGTCGTCGAGGCTTTTGTTGTCGTCGAGGCTTTTGTTGTCGTCGAGGCTTTTGTTGTCGTCGATGCTTTTGTTGTCGTCGAGGCTTTTGTTGTCGTCGTGGCTTTTGTTGTCGTCGAGGCTTTTGTTGTCGTCGATGCTTTTGTTGTCGTCGAGGCTTTTGTTGTCGTCGAGGCTTTTGTTGTCGTTGAAGCTCTTGTTGTCGTTGAAGCTCTTGTTATTGTTGAAGCTCTTGTTATTGTTGAATGGAGACAGCTCCCCCACGGACAGTTATCTTTAGTTGGATTTATTCCTGAGGCGAGACCTTCGCAACGGCCGAACATTTCTGACCATTGTGGCTAATACATGACTCGCCCTCTTGCTGAGCCTTGCATAAAGAAGCACAAGGCTTCGTATGAAGGGTGGATCTAACGCTCTAGGTGCCGGGAGTTTGGCATTATACTGAAATGAGTGGTCTGGTTTGGGTAATTTTTGGATGTATGGAGCTTCGACATCGTTCTCCTTCCCATTTCTTATCTCTCTGGGATGGTTTGCCTTTCCATCTTAAACTCCTTCTGAGTTTAAGATGGAGAGGGTTCCGGGAGTTCGTCTACTTCCCAAGCCTGGCACTTGTGATAACTTGGTTCAATAGGCTGTTGCAGGCGAAGAGTCACAACAACGTGGCTAAAGGATGTTGACCAGACCACACACTGGAAGGTGAAGGGACGACGACGTTTCGGTCCGTCCTGGACCATTCTCAAGTGGATTGTGTTGCTCGTCAATAGGCTGTTGCTTGAAGCGGCCCGCAGGCCATCATATCCATAACAGCTACGTTGGTCTGGCCCTTCTTCCACGAACTTGTCCAATTCCTTCTTGAAGAAAACCATCTTTATTCCAACAACATTCCCTTTGCTTTCTGGGAGGGCGCTTGAGGAGTCGTGGACCTGTGGTGTTCATACAGTGCTCTCTGGGTGTGCCTGTTCCTCCCACCTTTCCTCTTGCTCTAACCTTGCCTCTCCCTTCCACCCACCTACTTTGCATCATCCTCCCTCCCACCCACCTTCCCCCCCACAGTATACACTGGCAGCGTCAGAGCTGGTATATAGATCATGGCAGTTAAGTCTTCCGTACCATTTGAGGCCGCCTCCGGTGGTGGCGGTGGAAGGACGGTGTTACAAGTTATCTCTACTCACACACAAATATATCCTTGTCGTAGATATACCTACATTCTCGTTATCTTCTTTTGAGCTGTGGTGTCATATTGGAAACCTCAGTTGTGTTAAACTTGTTGTGACTTCGGCAAGAAGTGTGGTTTTGGCATCAATACAGTGCTTGAAGGAGGACGGGTCGCAAGAGGAGGAGGAGGTGGTAGTGTGCCTGTATCTGTGTGCATCTCTCTCTGGTTTGTTTATGTCTGGGGCGGCCGGAGGAGAGCACCCGGCCCAGTCGTTCGCTCCGTATCCCTCTCTCATCTTTATCAGTCATTCTATTGGTTTCCTTCATGTTATTAATATATTATAAATGAATAGTTCGTATCCAAATCGCGTCTCCGAAGCCTCCGAAGTCTCCGTCTGAAAGGAAAACTCATTATAACAAAGAAATGAGTGAA